GGGGCAGTGAGCATATCTCTTATTACTAGGGATGCACCAAAACCATTTTTTCAAGAACAAGTACTTTCCCTCAGTTACTTGCCGATACCAATTATCGATACTTTTTCTTAAATGGACATGTGACATTTTTTCTAAAACTACAGACAGACTAATGATTTTAGGGCAGTTTCTTTATATTTAAGAAGAACTGTAACTCATTCCATGATTATTCGGCAATGGAGAATGACAACCAGCAATAGAGGACTACAGATCTGATCAATCTATGATTATACAGCAATGGAGAATGGCAACCAGCTCACCTGGGCTGTGTACAGATCTCACCAAGGCTGCATTTGGGTGTTACCAGGGCTGTGCAGTCTCACCAGGGCTGCATTTGTGTCTCACCAGGGCTGCATGTGGGGTTCTCCAGGGCTATACTGGAAGGTGCTGGGCACTCCAGGGCTGAGATCGCGTCTCACCAGGGCTACATGTGTGCCTCTCTAGGGCTGAATGTGTGGGTGCTGTGCTTTCCAGAGCTGTACGGGCTGTCCAGAGCAGTGCATGTTTCAGGATGGAGGAGATGTAAAACCGGCCCCGCACTGCCACAGAAGCTAAACGAGGTCCCCAACAGGCCTGAAGTAATAAAAAAATTTAAAGCGCCAACGCGATTTATCGGGGCATTTTCACAAGTACAACTATTTGTGAAAATGCCCTGTATCGGCAGAGATACTAGTATCTGTGCATCCCTACTAATTACTAATTTACAAAACAAAAAAAGAAATTGCATATATACACATGAATACCTTTAGAAAACTTCTTTTTATTACAATAAATAACTAATTCTAATTAAATTATGTAAAGCCAACGTCAATCACAACGTCCAGTGATGTAGATTCATCATCAATCATGATGAGATGTTGACAACTGAAATCAAATTGTAAATTACAGTTCCCTGACCAACCAAGTATCCCGAGTGATGTAATTGACCCCATGGTGTTTTTGTTTTTTTGTGCGGGGTCTCCATTCATGCATTATAGGCAATCAAAGGCATCAACTTCTGGGTTTGCAGTATTTGCATTACTGCAAACCTGAAAGTTGACGCCTTCCTATCTGGAGAGGTTCCAACCAAGAGACATTTCTACCCATTTACAAGCAGGATAAGGAGAGGACTGATTTTTGTACCTCTGCCTGGGCCCTTGATAAGTGCTACTTTCCTGGGGATTTTCTGAATGAATCTATGTTCTTATTTAATTTGATCTCTTATAATGCACCAGGCAGGCAACCGTGTCTGTTTGATGTTCTATGTTAGCACTACTTGATTGTGAAGATTTCCTGCCCATATATTCTCTCTGTGGAGATTGCCATTTTTGGCGGAGTTGTTGGAGCAATTTGGAGAACAGTTATTATTTGAGTGCTACCAAACCTACTCATTGTGAGTGCGTAATTAGCATCTTTTTCTCTAATAATATATTTTGTGTATCATAAAATCACTTGACTGCTAAAACTCATCAGCCTTTGGTATAATGTGTTCTACTGCTTTTTAGGAACAAACTGGACTATCAAGATACTACATGAAATGCTATTTGAAATTCACAACAAGGAGCCAACATTGGATCAAGCTATGCTGGAATTTGGAAAACCAGAGAAATATGAGGTTCTTACAAAAACTTGTCATGGCTCTAAAGTTTATTACATAATTGTTAACTGTATTTTTTCATGTTCTAGATTTAGTAAAGCTAGAACGTGATGACATAAAAGTAAGAGCAAAAAATGCACAATTGAACTTACATTTTTATTTATCTAAATACATTCTAGGTGCATCAAAACTAAAAGGTGTGTAAAGTCTTAGTTATATTTAAAAAAAAAGCTTGTCCGATGTTTGCAGCTGCAGAGTGGGACCCTTTCCATCTGCGGGGAAGCAATAATCTAATTGCAGGGGTCTGACATGCCCTCTGTTGAATCTAGGGATGCACAGATACTTTTTGAGTACCAGTACAGATACTCGGCATTTTCATGAGAACTACCAGGGTTGCAGCTGGGACCTGGCTCTGGCACCCCACCACTGTCCTGAAATCATTAGTCTGTATTGTTTTAGAAAAATTGTCACATGACAATAAACAAAGATGTATCAGTACTCGTACTTGTAAGTACTCGACAAGTACCAGTACTCGTACTCGCAAAACTGGTATCTGTGCATCCCTTTATTTAGATTTATAAAAACAAAATCGTACATTAAAACAGAGATGTACAAATCCCAGGAGCTCTGTGTGCTCCCTACAAATGACAGCTGCCTCCTAATTTTTGAATTTTTTTTTTTTTACTTGTACCGAGTACTGTACTTGGTATCTGTGCAACCCTAGTTGAGTCAGAGCCAGAGCTGTACAAACAGCGAGTGTGTGAGCTTTGCTGAATAAAGATCTATAGTTCTAACTCAGTAAGGGGAGTGTCACACCTCTGCAATGAGACCACTGCTTCCCTACAGAGGAGGGAAGGCTGTGCTTTAATGCATCTAGAATGCACAGTATATACCTAATTTAACCGCTTGAAGACTGGGGTGTTAAAAACCTGTTCCTGTCCAGGCTTTTTCTCAGTACTCAGCACTGAGGTACACTATATTACCAAAAATATTGGGACACCCCCCCCCCCCCC